TTTGGGGATGTGGATGATGTACCGCAGGTGTGCGGGCCGTTGCATGAAACGGATGTACGAACCGATTAAAAAAAAACAAGTCGACAGCCGACAGACGAAAAACCGTATTTAATGTTTTACCAGTTTCTTGGGGCAAAAAAAAAAATTGCATCAGTTGCGACGGGGTACCAGTAGAAAAAAAATACCATGAATCGACCGCTAGTTCATCCTGTAGTTAAAATCTGCGGATAGAGGTACCAATGTGAAAAAAAAAAAAAAAGTGGGTTGGATGCAGCAATAGGGTAGGGTAAAAAAAAAACTGCTGTACAGCAGCATAAATGGGATGATAAAAAAAAGAAACAACAGTTGTCGTCCCGTGCAGAAGGTCGCAAAAGTAAGGCCGGTGCAATCGCGTGACACGGCACCATAGGTTGCATGACGCAAGATACCGCACCCCCTGAACCGCTCTTTTCAACAGCAGGGCGGCGGTGCCGAAAACGGCGGCGCCTGAACCATCTCGTCGAGAGCTTTCCGAAAACGCACCAGTATGTCTTGACTTGATTTACACATCTTACTTGGGGTCGTCGTGAAGTAAATCGAGCTCTGAAAGTCGGTCCAGGGGGTGTGGTATCTTGTGTCATGTCACCGTGTCCAAGTTGTCTCATGCTCTGATTAGTTCCGGGTGCCCGGTAGCAGGGCCCGGTCAGGGGGCTACCTCCAATCTTCCACTTTTGTTTGTATTTTGTCGCCGTTTTTCGGTGCGACGGCATCACGAACAGATAAAAAAAAAGTACTGCTGTATGCTTCGACGTCTGATCAATACGCGGCCCTCTACAAGGGACCAATAAATCATCCGCGTCGGGGTAGATCAGTACGGACAGATGAAGGTACTGGGCAGAGAGATTGGAACGGCTTTCTTAAGGTGAAGACAACAACAACAACTACTACTACTACTACTTTCTGCTGTGCAGCAACGGTTCTTCCCTCACCGCCCAGGTGGCTTGTCTCCACTCCGTCCTTGCCCTCTTGAACTTCCCTAGCGCCACCAAAGTCGACAGTAGCGGTGGCTTGTGAAACTTTCCAAACAGCACTCCCTCCCTTTGCTGCACCACAAAGGTGTATGAGAAGGGGGGGGGGGGGGTCAACGCCAGACTCGAGTTCGGGTGAGGCAAGCTGAAAGGCGCAAGACGCAAATAAATGTGAACAGAAGAAAAAGAGAGTGTTCAACCGAAAAACAAATGTTTTTTGAAGCCTGTTTCCAAAGTGGTCGGTTATTTGGCATGGGACTGAATACTAGCAAGACACGTTAATGTTACACAACGCCTTTTGATGCGGCTGTTGTTCCAGACCTAACGTGTGGTTACTATTTGTCAACCTTACCGGTTTTTAGATCAGTCGAAGAGCGGTGTAAACATGACGAAAAACAACTACCAATGAGGAGCACAAGAACAGAGCAGCAGCAGCGGCAGCAGCAACAACATCATCATCACTAACACAACAACAAAAACATCAAAATAACATCACAACAACAACAGCAGCAGCAGCAGCAGCAGCAACAACAACAACAACAACAGCAGCATCATCAGCAACGACAGCAGCAGCAGCAGCAGCAACAACAACAACAACAACACCATCATCATCATCACCATCACCACCACTAACAGCAGCAGCAGCAGCAAGACAACGGCTGCAAACGCAACCGAGGACGAGGAAAACCAAGCAAACCACCACCACCACCACCCACCGCAGATTCGAACAGAGGCATCGCTCTGGCGTGCATCCCGGCATCCGAACACACCACGGCCAGCTGAAGCTGGCACATCGGAGTCAGCCCCCGGCCGCTGTACGCCTCCATCTGCTGCAAAACCTTGAGCAGACGCTCCACGTGTGCAGGGTCCTTGCTCACCGCCTGACGTCGGCCCATCAACACGTTGTGGACTTTTTCGTCCATGGGTCTCCCATCCTCCTAAAAGGCAACAGGGTTGGCCAGTGGGGGGGGGGGGGGGGGGGGGGGGGGGACCCCAAATCGGGGGTGGCGTAATCCTTAAAACCT